GTTGATCGATGCCCCCCTTTTCTTCCATTGTTGCCATCACCAGCAATGTCCTGCTGCCATTAGTACCATGCTTATCTTCTCAAGTCTCAACTTGCATACCAATTCAGCTATTTTAGGCTGCTGGTGTTATCCAACTCTGCCAAAAATGTTAAATTTTGTGTGCGAGTACATGTATGAAGAGTAACTGATAATTCTCCAATGCTAAATTAATGTTATTGTGCATTGGAGGTCAATTACTGGTTTTATAGAAAAGCGAATTTGGAGAGGTATCAGGAGGTACCTAAATTAATACTACAAATTTTGATATATTTTGGAACCTGTTCACGGACTATAAAATGGAATAGAATAGTTTGCATCTTTAATATATGATTAGATTAATTACTTATTGGCGAATTCAATTGGGCTCTTACAAAATTAACTGCCTGAAGCCCTGAATTTGTTTTCTCTGCAATTTTTTATCTATATATTTTACTAACGAACGTGAAGGTAGAGTGACTAGAAAGAAGGATTTAGGGGCTGTTTAAATTGATGTCATTTTTAACCTTACCAATTTTTGGCAAAATTATCGAAACAATACCTACATTTAGTTTGTTGCCAAACTTTGGCAAATATATAAGAAATCATGTCAAAACTTTAGTAATATTACCAATTTGTCAAGGTAAGGTTTATTTTGGCTACAATCTAAACATCCCCTTAAACTTTAAATCCTTGTTGGCGCTTACTGGGTGCAACCGAATTATTTGATTTTTTTTATCCTAGTCTATTTTTTCTTAGAGTTTAGTTTTGCTGATAACGCAGATATACAAATTTAACCATATATTTTTGTTTCGTTATTTTTTATGACATATTAGCTGTAACTCAACAATTAATCAGAAGGTTAAGCCGGCTGAAAATGTTAGTCTTGCAACATGCAGTACGTTGCTTGCTGTAAGAACTAACAAGTGTTACGTATCACTGAACATATCAGAACAAACAAGTGTTACGTAGTAGTTGTTTTTCTAAAAGTAGTAAATTAATTTCTTATGCATGCAACATTAATGGAAAGAATCATAAAAAAACAAAACTTGACTTTGAATTTTCGGAAATTTAATTTATGTGTGAATTCATAAATACTACATAACTCAGTCGCATAGCTACTCCCCTGACTAATCAACCCCACTCATTCCACGATCTATCTATCGTATATGCACATCATTCTCTTCTATTTAATTTGATTGAGCAGGCGTTTATGTCTTGTAGTATTTTGACAATTTTTTCTTGTAAATTGATCTTCGAAATTTCAACTCGAAATATATATATTCAATGCAAGTCAGCGTGATGTTTCCACGGCAACCGAATAAAAAAAATCGTTAGTAACTTTTTTTAGAAAAAAACTGGTTAGTAAAAAACATTTTATGCACATATTTTTATATTGACTTTTTTATTACTTTTATGCTCACACTAGTTAGTATTTATAATGTGCGATATCTGCAACAGGAACTCGTAAAATTTACAATATATAACTTGTGATTTTACAGTAATACTAATACGTTGTAAAAAAAATCTGATTATGTTTTCTTATAGAAAAACAAGTTGGCAAAAAATATGGACAATCTTTATTTTTCTTCTGTGCCCTCCTAAGATATAAAAGAATGAGTTTTAATGATTGTGTTTCGACAGTTCTAGAAAAGTGAAAGATGATATGATTAAGCCGCAGTACTCCGAATGGACAGGATCAGCTTTGAGTTTGTGGGTTCTCATTCACGGATTCACCAACAAATCTAGTGATGGGGAATTGTGCAGCCCAAACATGGCACGATCAAAGTGTGTAGTATGAACATATTGATGATAAATTATACTTACTCCATTAATATATAAAATTGCCGATATATAATCTACTGGCAATCATGTTATATACTTATATTCATATGTAGGTAAATATGTTAAAATGTGTACCATTCATTTGTTCAATTTGCAATTTTTCATTTGGGAGTTTCTACTTCCCCTGAATATTCTTGATGTGCAGATAAGGGTTTGGCATTAGCAACTCTTCTGATCTATTTTCCATGACTAGCCAGCCCTACTTGTGACGAAGAAATTATACTACCTCTATTTTTAATATAATAGATGACGCCGTTAACTTTTTCTCATATGTTTGACCATTCGCCTTATTCAAAAATTTTATGCAAATGTATATGATATAAATCACGCTTAAAGTACTATGAGTGATAAAACAACTCATAACAAAATAAATTATAATTACGTAAATTTTTTTAATAAGACGAATAGTCAAACATGTGAGAAAAAGTTAACGGCGTCATCTATTTAAAAACGGAGGGAGTACATCCGTCCTCATTGCAAACACATACGCCGCTCTTTTTCGTGAGGAATTTGCCAACAATCTGACCTATCACTAAGATAATTAATTCACTAAAAACATTAATTAATTAACCGGTGTTGTGATGACAGTGACAAAGGAAATTAAGCATTTCCCTGCATTGCTATCAGCAGTACACCTGACCAATTGTCAGCCATGAATTCTTAGATCGCCAGTGGTGATATCAAATTTTGCGACACGTAAGTATACGTGATCAATGCAATTCGCTAATCCGTCTCTGGACCGGGAGATCGATCCAAAACGAGAAACGTAAAATGCGAGGAAAGCATAAGCAAATGCAGTAACGACCACGGAAGAGCAGAGCAATGCGACAGGCGATCAGAAAATTTTTTTCGTTTTGACCATTCCATTACGATCGTGTGAGTGATTACTGACGCTAATTGATCACTGCTACGGGCGTTAATCGATCCGTAATTACAAATACAAGAGTTTAATTCTTTTTGTTTTGACTGAAAAGAGTTTTTTTCTTGCCATTGCAAACGTAAACTGACCCAGTTCATCATTCACTGCGCCACCAGTTTTCCAGTGCCATGCTTAATTCCAATCCAATCCACGAATTTTTACCCTTTTTTTTCATCTACCGTTTTATCTTGGGTGAATAGCTAATACGGTCCCTGAAATTTTGCTTCGGGCACAATTCAGTTTTTGAGGTTTCAAATCGTCCAAACAAGTCATCCAAATAAATTATTTGGGTTAATATAGTTCTTGGACCCAAAAAAATGCACGTAAGCATGCCAAGTCATCTTCGCATGCTGTGGTATAAATGAAATGACCATTCTACCATTGCTTACGATTGTTGCAGCCAAGCACTAATCGTGTAAATTCATTTGTCGGCCACCCATACGCACCAATGTTGGGCTTGGGCTAGCCGGTTATTTTTTTATGTTTGTCTTTTATTTCTTTTATATATGGTATACAAGGGTAAAATTGTTATTTCATTTCATACCGTTGCATGTGAGGATGACTTGGCATGCTCACGTGGCTCTTTTTGGGTCAAAGGATTGTATTAACCCAAATAATTAATTTGGAGGACTTGTTTGGACGATTTGAAACCTCGAGGACTAAATTGAGCCTGAAGCGAAACTTCAGGGATCGTATTGGTTATTCGCCCTTTTCTTTTCTTCAAAGTTTATTTTACTGGCGATTTAAAAAAGGCATGCGCCGTAAATATCTGGTGATTGATCGGGGGCAGATTAATTTAATTTAACCCCGGAAACACGTTTTACTTGCCCTTGAAATGACCGAATTATTTTTTTCTTCCATTTCTCAGTGCAGGTTTCTTGGGGTCTAGCCGGCTGGCTGGTAACCCATGCTTATTGCCATGTCAATAAGCAAGTTCATTCCAACGTTGACAGAAACAATTAACTAGGGGCACGCATGGAAAAGTTCTTGCTTAATATAATATACAATTATGATACATTGTTCAAGCAAGACTGCTAACCATCCCAAAGTTTTGCAAGTTATAGGCACGTGCTGGGAGAAATGTTCTTAAAATGCTCATACTAATTAGTTTAAAAATGTGTAATCTACGAAATAATAACAAGGTCCAACTAGCACACTCTTTCCTTTTAGCGTGTTCATCCTTATAGTTAATTAACCTCTCAGCAAAATGGTTAGATTTTGTAGCAAATGAACCCACATAAAAACCGTCTCTGAAACAGAAAATAGTACTATGGCATTATTTTTGAGGAAATTAACCTGCATTATGCAAGAGGCAAGAACTGATGGTTGACATGCCAAACTGACTCCCAACAAAAATCATTGTATGAAAGCAATGTGGCCATTGAGTAAGAACGGTTGTTAAATCCACCATCCATTGATGCAAATGAAGCAACCATTGAGACCAAAACCATCACTGATAGACTTTATGGGGACACCACCAAATTAGCTCTAGGCCAAGACTTCAATTGGTAGCAAGATATCAAGCAAAGTCATGCATGGCTTTGCCTGCCAACCTCCTCCCAAATCTACGGATCACACACACCTATTCATGAATGCCATGCCATGCCATGTCAGCTATCCACCAATCTACCGTGTGTCGTGTCATCCAGCAAGATATCCATGTCACCAACCCTAGCTATACATGTCACCAAACACAAAAAAGAGGCAGGCAGGCACCCTGGGCCCTCCAGTGACAAACAGAAAAACCAGCAACAAATGAAGCAAGCAGCCCAAGCAAAGCAAAGCAAAGATGCAGAGAAAAGAAAGGCTGTCAAAGATACAGAGCAAGTCACTAACCACAATCATGCGTACCCTGGCCCCACCCTCCCTTTCTCTCTCCCTCCAAAAACTACACAAATAATCAAAGAAAACAACAAAGCATAAAAGGAAATGCAAACATTGCACTTTTTTGTCACCTTGAAGAAAAAAAATGAAATGGAAAATCCAGAAGAAAAATAAAAAAAAAGTTGAGGAGGAGGAGAGAGAAGGTGAGAGGAAAGAAAGAGGTGTGGGGGAGTATCAAGAAAGGGAGAGGCTTTGCATCCAAGCGTGCTCCCCCTCAAGCAACCCCCCTTCCTCCTTCCCCGGTCAGCGTCCTGGTTGACCGCACCACCCCCGTTGCAACGGAACGGAAACGGACGCTGCCATTCTCCGTTTCGACCACTATATATTCCTCTCACCCTCTCCCATTCCTCGCCATTACGGACACCTCTCTCTAGTCTCTCCTACTATTCGCTAGAAGCCAAGAACGCGACGCGGCGTCGATGAGGACGAGGCGAGGCGCGTGCTACTCGCCGGCGTCGTGCCAGGACGGGCGGCGGAAGAGGCGGAGGATCGCCGGCGGCGGCGGGGAGGGATCGGCTGCGGCGGCCGCGGCGGTGGCCGGCGGCGCCGAGGGGCCTGCCAATGATATGTTCGAGGAGTTGCCGGATGATCTTGTGGTGTCGATCCTCGCCGACGTCGCGGCGTCCGCCCGGTCGCCCGGTGACCTCGCCGGCGCCATGCTCACGTACGTGTGTGTTGGTCGCAAGAAACCAAGAAAAACCAAGAAATCGTGGAGTTCTGACATGGTGTTTGTGTTGTTGCATATGCAGGTGCAAGCGGTTCAGGGAGCTCGGGCAGAGCAAGGTGGTGCTCGCGAGGGCGTCGCCGCGGTGCCTCGCCGTGCGGGCCAAGGCGTGGTCGGACGCTGCGCACCGCTTCCTGCAGCGCTGCGCCGACGCCGGCAACCTCGACGCGTGCTACCTTCTTGGCATGGTGAGATTGAGCTCGGTTTCTGCCGAATCGTCGTGGTGTTCGTGCTTGCGGCGGTTGTGCTGATCGTGTTCTTCTTGTGATGTCAATGGCGCAGATCCGGTTTTATTGTCTCGGGAGCCGCGGGTCGGGAGCGGCGCTGATGGCGGCGGCGGCGGTGGGCGGGCACCGGGAGGCGCTGTACTCGCTGGCGGTGATCCAGTTCAACGGCAGCGGCGGAAGCAAGGACGACCGCGACCTCCGCGCCGGGGCGGCGCTGTGCGCGCGCGCGGCGTCGCTGGGGCACGTCGACGCGCTCCGGGAGCTCGGGCACTGCCTGCAGGACGGCTACGGCGTGCGCCGCTCCGTGCTCGACGGGCGCCGCCTCCTCATCCAGGCCAACGCCCGCGAGCTCGCCGCCGCGGTCGCCGCCTCGGCCTCGCTCCTCCGCGCGGCCACCGGCAAGCCGGCGGCGGCCGCCTCCCGCCGCCACTCGTGCCTCCTCAGCGACTTCGGCTGCCACGCCGCGGCGCCCAAGGCCGGCGGCGAGGCGCACGCCGCCAACCGCTTCCTCGTCGACTGGTTCGCGTCGCGCCCGCTCGCCGGCTCCACCGCCGCCGCCGCCGCGGCGCCAACGCCAGGGAGCGCCGCGGAGGACGAGGCGGCCGGGCTGCGCCTGTGCTCGCACGCGCTGTGCGGGCGGCCGGAGACGCGGCGCCACGAGTTCCGGCGCTGCTCGGTGTGCGGCGTGGTGAACTACTGCTCCCGGGCGTGCCAGGCGCTGCACTGGAAGACGGCGCACAAGGCGGAGTGCACGCCCATGGACCGGTGGCTCGACAACGCCGCCGCCGGCGCCGCCAACCCCAATGCCGCCGCCATGGCCGCGCCCGCCCCATGACCGCCTCGCCGCGACACGCGCACGCAGGCGCAGCAGTAAATGCACCGGACGAACGGTTGGCGAACTAGGCGTGAACTCGCAAGTTGGAAACGAACGGATAGTTATTAGTGACTGTTTAATTAGTACTTTTACTTTAGACGGTTAAAAAAAAAAGAGGAAAATTACTGTGCGTTCTTTTTTTTCACCCGGGTGGTCTTCTACTCTTCTGTACATGGGACCTTGAAACGAGCGAACGAACACTGAGGTAAAAAAGGTAAAGCAAGTCTGAAACTACACTCCTTTTTTTTTCCCCTTCTCTTGTTCTTTTTTCACCGTTTGTCCGGAAGCAAAACCAATCCCAGAGGACTGACTGACTCAAATGTGACGTCGTGAATTCTGGCTTTTTTTTGGGGGTTGCTTCCTCTCTCGTGCTCGTCTGCTTCCTCCTGGCACAAAGCGAGCAAGTGACCACGGGGAAGCCGCGACAAGCTACGTACTCCCATATGGCTCACACGGCGCGGTCTCTTGCCGCGCGCGGCGTTTGTGATGTGTGCTGCTGCTGCTTCTTCCCCTGCAAAAAAAGGGTGAAAAAGTGGAGCAAATCCGGGTGCCGGGGCCCTGCGTCGTCTCGGCCCACTGGCCACTGGGCATCTATAGAGTAAACAGTGGATTAGGTTCGGCAGCGGATTAGCTTCGGCGTTGAGATGCCGTGGAATGAAAACATTCGAGAATTTTAATTGTGTGTTTATATATATAGTATCGATTTATGTACACTTTTTTCAGTCTAACCAAAGACAACACTTATCCTATAAACACACACGTACGTCCTACCCCTGTAAACACTTCTGAAAACACTTCTGAAAGACTGGATTATAAATATGAGCACCCGTATTAAGTTTGAAATTTGAATCCATCCAGGATGGGTTGGTCGCACCATAAGAAACATAACCGAGCTATGTTCACTTCGCAGTAACCGTATGAGTTTTAAAAGAATGTAAATATAGGCCGTGTTTAGTTTACACTAAAATTAGAAGTTTGGTTGAAATTGGAATGATGTGACGGAAAAGTTAAAAGTTTGTGTGTATAGGAAAGTTTTGATGTGATAAAAAAGTTGAAAGTTTGAAGAACTATTTTGAAACTAAACAAGGCCATAGATAAGGTAATTTTTTAGCATCCCTCATCCGCTACCACTGACCCACTGTTAATATGATGGTATAATCCATATTGCTCTTCAAACCGGTACTTATATGAAAACGGTTAGAAAAAGTATCATTAATGTATTATTTTTTTTGGAAAGGTTTTGGTATGATCGGGAATTTTCTACTATATAAATTTAATTATTTAGTGTTAACTTCAATATGATGCTAATATAAATTGAAAAAAACTAAATTTTATATGTGACTAGGATGAACGGATGTACGGTTGAGGATTTTCGTATTTTTCACCCCCATATATTACGGTAGCGTTGAGCGCACACATATACAATTACGGTAGCGGATGAAGAGCATTGTTCCATCAATCAATGAAATAACCCATCAGACCTCCAGGGTAAAGTACCGAGTCATTTTTTTCATCTTTTTTTATTATAACTTGTATTATAAAACACTGAGGATATCAAACAGATTCATCTTTTTTAATGGAGCATGGATAACACGAACCACACTACTCCCGTACCTTTCTTAACCGAGTCAAAATTGGCTTACCCAGGAGATAAAGCCAATCCAGGCAATCCGCAGCACGGCCGTATATAGTTGACGTTCGCTAGAATCCTCTTCGTCAGCAGCAAGCACCTCAATATCGGCTCAAGTTGCATACTTTTGCACCGGGTAGATGCTCTCAAAAATGTATCTCGATCCACCATGTGTACCCCTGTACGGCGTACCCGCGGTGGCTGATCCAGTGCTGTCAAAATCACGAGCACACAGCTATATACGGAGTAGTACACAAATCTTCGCCGCCGTATCCAGCAAAATCTTTATATATTCCGTGCATGCATGGATCGATGCATATCCGGCCACATCAACGACGGCGGCGGCGGTGATGGCAAAGCAATATATATTTATCCATCCAAACGAAGCCGTTTACGTGCATGCACGTACACGCTAGCTTAGCCCAGCCGAGCCAGCTGCCAACGAAACACGACAAAGGCCGTGGCCGTGTTTAGATCAGGGTGAAAAATTCTGCCGTGCCACATCAAATATATGGACACATAATTAAATTATTAAATATAGACTAATAATAAAACAAACTATAGATTCTACCTGTAAACTGCGAGACAAATTTATTAAGCTAATTAATGTTTACGGTAGCACCCACATTGTCAAATCATGTAGCAATTAGGTTTAAAAGATTCGTCTCACAATTTACACGCAATCTGTGTAGTTATTTTTTCTATACTTAATACTCTATGCATATGTCCAAACATTCGGTGTGACAGGATAAGGGTCTCTTTAATTTGGAGGAAAAACATAGGAATTTTAGAGGATTTCAATCCTATAGGAAAATTTCCTATGAAGCTTTTTTGAAACAAAGTATTGAATCCTATCTAATCCTTTAAAATTCCTATGGAATGGACAATTCTATAGAGATTTTGGAGGAAATTTAGTAAGAGCTTCAACCTCTTGCTAACTTTTCTTTGAGTCTATATCTCTCATCCAATTCCTATGTTTTTCCTGTAGTTCAATCAAACGGTCATTCCTGTGTTTTTTCTACGTTTTACCATCTTCTATTTTACACTTACATTCCTATCAAAATCCTACGTTTTTCCTATTCCTACGTTTTCTTAATCCTGCAATTCAAAGGGGCCCTAAAGTTTGGGTCTGGTTAGCGAGTTGTCGACAGAAACTTTCAAATTTTTCAACCACCGGATATATCATCAACAATTACTGGGAAACATGTCTGCACCAATAAAAACCACAAATCTTAGCATCAAGCCGATTGAACGGTAAGAAAATGACCAACATGTATAACGGGAAAAAACCTTTTAAATTCAAAAGTAATACGCGTGCTTTTGAAAAGAATTATAAATTCTAATTTTACACAATCTAAATACCTTGTAACTATCATATAACTAGAGTGTAAGTGATATGTAACTACTTTATAAGTAAGATATAAGTGATATGTAACTGTAACTATCATATAACTAGAGTGTAAGTGATATGTAACTAATTTATAACTAAGATATAAGTGATATGTAACTACTCTGTAACTAAGGTGTAAATGTTATGTAAGTATATTAAAGTACGCGAATACTTATAGGACGTTCGATAGAAACAAGTTACCAAAATATTCGAATTATTTTAGCCTTTTGATTTCAACATTGCCGTCATTGCTAGGATTATCCCAAAAATTAGGTGGGAAACAGGCCTAATTGTAGTTACGGTGTAAGTAGCATGTAACCGTGATTTCCCTTCAAAAACTTGAGTTGGCTTAGTGGTTTGGACGCTGCCCTACGTAAAATGGTGGGGGATTTACAATTATAACACTGCAAACATTAATCTTTGCTATAATAATATTGGACCCACATTTCATACACACAGATGGGCCCATTTGTCATCCACTCGGAGTGTCAAAATAGCGAAGACTCTATGTTTGTAGTTCCAATATTGTAATTTTCTCGTAAAATGGTAGGCTGCAGGATCGACTCCTTTCTACGGCACTATTTTATGCTGTTTTCTTCCATCACGCACGCACGAATATCGGAGCGAATCCGAGGGCTAAAAAATCGTCAGTTTTTTCCAAAGAAAACTGTCGCAAGTTTTGTAGCAATTCCGTAAAGGTTTTGCATGAGAACTAAACACGACAAAAAAAAAGTGTAGTAGTACTAGCTAACAAGGAGTACTAGGCATCTGCTTAGCCCCAACGCAAAGGCCCGACCGGTCGGGCCGGTCCAATCCATCCATCGATCGATGCGATACGACCGCCCCGCGCGTGCTCCCGTGGACCACGGCATCACCTGCTCGCACGCAAGCAACAAATTAACTCGATCCATCGATCGCCAACCATCCATCCATCCATCCAGCAGCTTCGTTACTAGTACTACGTACGTGATCCCCACATATTTTTGGCCGTTCCTTCGTCCATCGAGTACGTACCACGGCCGTGTACTAGGTACGTAGCAACGCCCCGGTCCCGTCTCGCGGCGAGCATTGCACGCCACTACTGAAACTGAACCCCGAAACCGGCCGGTGCGTGCAGCAATATGCGATGCACTGCACCCGTACGTGTATATTTATTGTTGCCGCCCGCGCGCGGCGACGCTTGCACGGCTTGGCTGGCTCTGGCCGCTCACCACGCGCGACCATGCCGTCGTCTCGTGGGCGCGCGCTATACATTTTTGGTTGGTTTCGCAGCGGCAGCGCGGTGGATGGGTGGTGGGTGGGCGGGGCTCGTGGGCGCATCATGGATGCATGGGGTTTGGTTGGGTTGTTGTTTGGTCGCTCGATCGTTGCGGCATGCAGCCTTCACGGCACCGCGCGCTGCATGCAGGACACGCGGGCCCAGCACAGCCAAGCCAGCCGAGGTGGTGGATCGATCACGAGCAGTGACACGTGTGTGCCACGAGGATAGAATGGCCTGGCCTTCCCGTGGAAAAAGTCGTCAAGACGGACCCGTATATGTATGTACATATGCGTGTGTACGGTGTACGCATGTTCCCATCCGAGATAAGCGATGATACATATGCCAAAGTTTAGTCCATTCCATATTTGCTTATCAATCTATCTACTCGTATCTAGCAGCCGAAATCTGTTCCGAAAATTAAAGAGCTCGCTCGTTCGCTCGCTGGCACGCACGACCGATCAAAGGAGGCGGGGGCCGCGTGGCCCAACTGCCCATTCAGCACGCGGTGCGGTGCATTGCAGTGTGCACCATCCGGGAGGCAGGGGAAGGCCAGGTCGTCGTCGTCTTCGCCGTCGTCGGTTTTGAAAAAACAACCGATCGTGGCCGTTGGTGCGTCGTCGTCATAATTGCATGGCGCGGGGTGTGGGGCCCCGCTGCCCACGCCGGTTTGTTCCATTCCCCCAAACCGATGCATTCTCTGCCCAGCGAAAGCGAGAGGAGGAGGACCAGAGGGGAGGGATCTGGAAACGAGAGATGGCGGCTTCGGATTGGAATCGGACGCGCCGTGCCGCGTAACGGGGAGCAGCCATGTGGCGCCTCTCCTGCAACAAAAAACCGACCGGCCGATTCGTCCACCCGATCGAGTTGAAAACAAAACAGTGCTTGATCGTATGGAGATTAAACTCCATCTAGTCGTCAGTCAGTCTCAAGTCGGTTTCGTCCTACAGGATGGGCGACGGCGACGAAGCTGG